AGAGCATACATTACTGAGCATAATCTATAAAACTACCTTGAGTTTTCGACTAATTAAGAAAGTCCAACGCTTCTCAAAAATTACAAACACCTCATCGATGTTCATATTTTCTCAACAAGAACCACTCCATTTAGGATGTGATTTTGTAAGGAACAAGCTAATTAGGTGTATTTTTGTGATTAACCCTTAAGAAACTCGATTTAAAAAATATGTATTTTGGATTCTTAACAAATTGAGGAAATTTTTCGTACCAAAAACAGGCAACGACACTTTGGACAATAACTCGGAACTGTAGCGGCACATATTGATGATTCACCCATCCAACCACAGGCCAAAACTGCATTAAAAAGTGAATGAAAGTATAAATATAATTTCCTCTTTTTTTTTTCCTTTTTTTTTTAAAGCGACACTATTATCACTTACAGTCCATGCCGTATACTGGACAGTTGGATATTCTTTCTTAATTTTAGACTTTACATGGATCCAAGGTCTGCCTGTGCATGTAATAGAATGTAGGTGAAGATAAAATTTCATCAGAATCAGATCAGAAAACTGTCTAACTAGCTTAGTAGCTAATGACTTTTGATATAAAAAGTAGAGCAAACGAAGTTTTTTTCTTTTTTTCTTTTCAACAAATTCTGAGAGGAGATAAATACATAAGATAAACGAACGTAAATGTGTTTTACCATGCTCAAGTCCTACAAATTGTTTTTGTATAAGAAGGTAAATTTTTATCATTCGTAATGACTAGAAGATATCTCAAGCTGAGAAGGTGCTACATATACTGACCTTCGATAACAAACCCATAATATAGCATGAAAAGCAAGTTGTTCCAAGGTGAAGATGTAAGTTGCTCGAGCACCACCTAAAATGATGTCATGAGCTTTAATGTTCTTAAAATAGTTCAAAAATTCATTTTTATCACAGTATAACCTATAAACATCACCATTACAGGCAAAGTTGGGCCCAAAAACTGCTATAAAATAGGAAAAACTAGAACTCGGAGAGAGGAGAAAACGGAATAGATAACTAAGACCTATAAGTAAGAGTTGTTAAATAATAATTAATTAAAAAAATATGTTTACCTTCTTTGCTACAGTCTTTTTATCCTTCCTTCCTCTGAATATTTTATCGAGCGCAATGTGAAAAAAATGCCCGAATGGACCTAGATATGCGGCCCCAAAAATCTGCATTTAGATATTCAACATCTAACTGAAAACATCTACAGAACTTAATGTCAAAGAAAGACTGTGAACAAGAGGGTATATGCAAAGAAAAACTGCATTCAAATAAAAAAAGTTCAGAATTGGAAATCAAATACAAGTTAGAACCTCCTTAACCGTGTGTTTTTAATTTTTATGATACAATTCACTATTTAAATTGTATAATGAAAGTTTAAGATGGTATTGGTAGCTACTAGCCACAATGCATTATTAATAGATGACCCACACGAGTGGCCAATAAGAAGCCAGCCCTTTACTCTGTATATAGTACACAGCATTCTGCAGTAGCAGACCTAATGCATATATCATTTATTGCTAACTAAGACTTTGCCTCAAAGCTCATAAGAACCCAACGCATCCAAACCCCAATCAAATAACTAATAGTCTAATTCATTGCTTTATGCACCACTTGATTGAGATAAATTGTCTAGTTCAGTAACAAAATTATCAGTCTGCAAGATTATTATCCATTTACCTAAAACCAACATCGTTTTTAGCCATTTCCCGGGAGGGAGATGCCCATTTTCCACAAATATACTAAAAAGTATATTTGTTAAAAATGTATAGACTAAGAACAAAGGTTATTTTGACCCATTTGCACTAAATTTATTCCCAATATTCAATAATTTCATGAGCCTAGCTAAAAAGACTATTGCTTTCTCCATCCCCAAAGCTTGAAATCGATTCAAGAGCCGAAGTTCATCCATCATAAGATGACCTAACTGACTCCATGTAAGATACTCAAACTGGAAAAGAGTACTACTTTTCAATTTGAGAATTAACACCACAATGTACATGATTAAATCGTAATTACACAATCTCCATAGGAACAATACCACTTTCAGAAGAAGGCGTTTGAGCTGGAGCCTCGGAAGGCCCGAAAGCTTCTGCGCGACTATATCACTAATCGCCGACAAAATTCCCGCTGTTATCACCTGAACACCATACTCATAAAAACAAAATCAAGATTCGGCAATCAAAACCAAGTAATAATCATAACTCAAAATCATGAGAAAAACAGTGTAATTCACACCGAAAAAGGAATTATATCATGGAAATGGAAAAGACAAAAATGGGGGAAAAAGAAGAGAAAAAAGCCGAGACCTTGGTTCTCAAAGGGTGTTGCTGCAATTGTAGTAAATACTTTTGCAAGCCCATCTTACCAACTGATGCCATCTCTAATAAGTAATATCTGCTCAACACTTGAGTTCTTGCTCTCGATTTTGGTGTGCTGAATGAAGACGGAGAGCGAAGACAAATTACTCAAAGAAATGGCGCTTTTTCCACGTTTTTGGTGGAAGTGTCCTTAATAGCATCTAGGATTCTTTTATTGGCGACTACTGCGAGTAATATGCATATAAATTTTCGGTTGACGTATTTACATGATTTTTATTAGATGGTGTAACTATTGAATAATTATTTTTCTTTTTATATACTTATTTTCATATTATTAAGATATCGTACTTTAAATTTTAATATAAATAATATTATGATATTTTCATTATTAAAATATATACTTTTTTATAAAAAAATTATAGTTGTATAACAATTAGTCTATGAAATCATGGCCAATAATTTTTTGCTTTTTTGTCTTCAAGATTTAAATACTAAGCAATAATTATGTCATAATATAATACTAATAATAACATTTATTGTCTCGATTTTTTCAACTTAACAAATATACAACTTAAATCTATATATATATATAATAAGAATTACCATTTACTAAAAATAGTAGCAAAAAAATTGGTCAGAATTTAATGCAGCATATAAATAGTAATTTTTACTATTTTTCTTATTTTTTTCTTTAAAAATCATACAACATTAAATGCTACCTTAAATTTCGGGCTTTAGTTCATTTTATTATTTAAAAATTCCAGCTAAGATTATTAAACCCTAAACGAACAACATTAAAATCTCGGTCTCTATATTTATAAAATCTCAATTCAAAATATAACAAAAGTTTTAGAATCTCGATCTTTATATTTGTGCCTTTAAAAAAAATATTGAACGCTAAAAATAATCTTTAAATTGCATAATCAATCAATTAATCTTAATTTTTTAAAAATTAATATGTTTATTTTTATTAATATGCATAAAGTAAAAATAATTAATTCATTTTTAGATATATAATTTATAATCTTAATATACTATCATTTGGTGTAGACATTATTATATGAATCATAAAATATTTTTATTCATAAAATTAAATATATTTAAACAAAATAAGAAAATTTCTTCGGGATCAATAGGATGATTGAATTAGGATACTGCCCAAGTTGATTGAATTACTTTTAGGTGATTTTAAAATAGTCAAAAAACTTGACACACCTTGGTTGGTCCCAGATGACTAAGTTATGTATCAGTTCGACCACACCAAATCGATTATTGAACCTAAATATAGATTTTATATTGAAAATATTTTATTACGTGAATGTGATGTAGTCCAAACTTCAAATAATCGTATTAACAATACTTTTATGACAACATGTTTAATGATTTATGAATATTTATATATCATTTTATTAATATTTATGTGAATTAAAAAATATTTTATTATAATATTTATTAATATAAAGTAAATATAAGGTTTTCATAATTGGACAGTCATCGAAACGATCAAGCTATTTTATTAAATCATTTGCAGTTTTGTTCAGATTTTAATTTATAAACATTTTAATATACATATATGTTGTACTTTTTGTAATAAATTTAAATAAAATGTGTTACTTAGATTACTTTTTGTAATAAATTTAAATAAAATGTTTTACTTAGATATCTAAACAATTTATAAATTCAAATGTTTAAACTAATTGATAAATAATTTATAAATCTCTATTTTATTTAAATATAGAATTTTATTTAAATAATTTTAAATATAACAATATTTATTTAAAAAATCGTATCGATCCTACCAGTCCAACTGACTGGTATTGACGGATTCGAGAGCAAATATTTTATTCAAGCGAACTAGACTGGTTATAAATCGGTTCTCGGTTAATCTCGATTTAATTTAAAAACAATAAATAAATTATGATCAATGTTATTTATATATTTAATTTATAATGCAATCGTAATATTGTTTTCTCGTGCATCTACGCACTAGTTATTACGAACGACGTCCCATGGTACTGTATCTCGTCACTGTTGGAAATTTTACCAAGAGCCACCCAGAATAAATCGTCCTTGCTGCTCCTGAGATTCTTGCGCCATTCTCAATAGCCATTCAACAAATTCGTGGCCCCCATCAAAATCTTGAACTAGAAGATTCTCCAGACACGTCTACGACGTCGTTTTCCCTGTTAAATTATGCCATCGACCTCAGTTCCTGATTTTTTTTCTTCTCCTTATCTGTGTGAACTTCATTTTCTTGAATTTTCGTTTTTCTTTTTCTTTTACTTGGGCCAAGTTATCTGCTCGGTTTCCGGATGATATCATCCTTATCCTGATAAGGTCTGTTGGAATTTTGATTATTGGTCCGTAAAGTCGGTGAATTGGTTTGAAATGGACATTATTCTACTTATCAATCCCCCACTAGCTTGAGGGGAAATGGTTACATGATGAATAAGTTATTACTCTCCTTTTGTGGAGATTTCTTGAAATCACAAATTTCTTGAAATGTTTATTCTTGAAATTCTGGGTTTTATGTTACATTTTCGAATATAATATTTGAAATTGGAAGTATGTATATATGCTGAAAATATACAATTATACAATTGCCTAACAACAGCCTTACTATAAACTGAAATATGATCTCTCCTTTTGTTGGTAGTTTTTTTGTTGGTAGTTTTCAGGCTTACATGCTATTTCAGTATTGTTGAACAGGTTTTTCTAATTCTACCTATTACTGTCTGCTGCTTGATTATATATATATATATCTTTTCTCACTAGACCACTATTTGTCGCTCGCGTGGTTTTTGAGCTGAAAATTGAAATAAAATATTTCTTAGTAAAATATTGTGTCATATTATTTAAGGTTTCAAATCTCCCGATTCAACTATGCTGACGAACGTGCTGCAAGAAGCTACTAATCTCAAGCTGATTCTCATCAATCCCTTAATTCGTATTAACTCTGCTTCATCAGCTCCTTTTAAGGTTCTTTGTCATAAGGGATGGTCCAGCTGTCCTTTCTCGTGGGGTTTAAGTAATCAATCGAAATCCCAGTATTTGTCTCATCAAATCACTTCAAAGAGATGGCTAGTGGGGCATGTAATTGTCCAATCAATCGACAGTTAAATTTATTAAGTGATTTTGTTCATCTTTTGTCTTATATCTTGTTTTTATTTTCTGTCTTGTCTAGTGCCGATCGCAAGATTCAATTTCTCCTGAGAATGAATATCGATCATCACGCAACATAGCAATCAGCTTGCTCAGGCGGTACAGAAATTTTGTCGAGCGAGGTGGAGGAGACAATCTGAAGGTGCCCTTGTCTCGTGTTGGATTTTTTTTTTTTTTTTAATTTTTATTTTTTTTTTTAATTTTTTTTCTTATTAGTTAATCCATTTGATTATATATAATGCTAATGGAATGATTCGTAGGAGTTCATCAGCGCTGGTGTAAATGCATACGCGTTAGGATGCACTGAATTGGGGTTGAGGAAAGAGCTTACCGATATGAAGGAGTCTGGTGTTGAGATCGAAGCTATGCAAGACTATGGTGGAAATATGAGTCTAAAGTCCAGAATTTTTTCCCAAGAAGCAAGTTCAATTACATTACATTTCACCTTTTTTGCCGTTTTTATGCTAAAAAATGCGCCTTTTTCATGTTTTCTCGGTGGCTTTATTTTTCAGAGAATTTTATAATTTTTATTATGTGTCATGTGTGTAGGTTGAGGAATGTATAATGTGGTTGAGCATTGTATTTATCACGATTCTTTGTACACCACAACCAACTGTTGTTCGATGGTCAACCACACGTCCAGTGTCGGAAGATATGTTGATCAAGTGGAAGGGCTTTTGTGCAATTATAGCAAATGCATACTTTACAAGAGGAATGGCTTGGTGAGATGTATACTATTTTTCTTGGCATATAAGTCTTTTAGGTGAAGTAGAACAAGGTGAAACTAAAAAACAAGTTTTCTGTTAAATTTTTGCTTTCGTGCGTGCATATATATGTTAAAAGGCTTCCGGTGAAGACTCTCCAATTGGAGCAAATGGCGGTTATGGGTCGTGCAGAGGAACCATCTCTTGTGGCTAGCCGAATGAGACTCGTATTTAGCACACTTGAGGTGAGTTCATGAATTTTGATGAACAAGACAATTCATATAAGTGGCTGTGGATTCATCATAAACTTCTATTGAATTGTTCAATTGTCATTGCAGGTTGTGAGTCCACAGTGGCCAAGGGGGTGATTTGGTAAATTTGACTAATTTCAAACTATGCAGTGATCCAAGTCTTCAAGACAAATCCAAGCTCATTTCTCCCTAATGTATGAGATGTGATTTAAAAGATCTCCATATCATTCATGTGAAAAATGTTCTAAGTCAGCACATGGTAACGAAAGAGTGAAAAACGTTTATGTTTGCTNTATACTGGCACGAAGGGCACTGGTGTCTTTGAGGGACTTCCTTGCACGCCAATAGACAGCCGCAGCAGTTTCAGAACTTCCCATCTGCCATAATATATCAAAACTATAATCATAAGCTTTGAGATGACCATTAAACAGATAAAATTTGGACAAAACTGAATCGAAACAAAACTCACGTGTGCCATTATTTTTCATATATTTGAAAGAAAAAAAAAGAAAAAGAAAAAAAAAAAGACTGCAAATGCTAAAATCTGCTAATATATGAAAATTTTGGGCCATCTAACGGACTTGATGCTCATAAACTCACGTGTCCCGCCACAGGCTTGCATCTTGATCGTAAGTTGCAAGTGCAGAATTGTACAGTTTCCGAACATTTGCAAGGGCCCTCTTGTCCCCAGCAGATGCAAGGTTCGATTCTAGCTCGATGCAATTCCTGAATATAGCGAGTCAGAAACCAGATAAAAAGAAAAAACCAGATAAACCAGATAAAAAGGTAAAGTCAGAAACCTGCACTTAGAGGGAAATGATAAATATATCAGAAAAACCAGATAAAAAGAAAAAAACAAATGTATGAGATTAATGTTACAAAGCAAGAAACTCACTGCTTGTACGTCTCTCTTGCACTTTCAATTCCATCCTTCTGAAGTAAGTAAATTAAAATTGTCGCCGAGAGTGAGAATCCACTCTCACTCCCTCCATCTCTGGCCAGAGCCAAGATTGAAATCTTCACAAGCTTGTCAAAATAGTGTCTTTGACTTGCAAAGTATTTCAGCCCCTAAAACAAATAAGAGAGAAAAAGGACAACAAAGAAAAGATAGTTAGCAATCTGAAATCTCCATAAGTTTCGCCAGAACATGATAACGTTCACCAAGGAAAAGCTTTCAAGATATAGACCGNGAACTATCTGGTGAGCTTAACTGAACAAACTTTCAGGACTACTTTATCAAAAAAAGAACGTAATCCACACATAAAGAGGCAATCAAATATTCGAAATCATCTATGCATACCATTAAACACAAGTTTTCAGCTTCCGAAGCACGAACTTTCATTAGAACATTTCTCAAGAGCTCAAAGATGTATTTTAGGTCACCCTTGGTTGGATAAGTAGATTCACCGAGAGTGCCTTTCATCTCTATGGAGAGCCGTAAAGTCCACAACTGCAATGAATCCTGAAATTTCCAGAGCAAAGCTTTTCAGTTGCCATCTTGGCCTCATTTAGTTTTCCCACGCGCAAAAGGAATGAAACATGAAGGCAAGCAAGATCTTCGGTGAGAAAGCCCATCTCCTCAGCCTTCTCGTTTACTGTCTGAAGATGGAAACCAATGTCAATGGCATCAGTGCCAGTGTCAGAGCCAAAATAAACTTCAGCTTCGCAAGCCCTATTTGACTGCATCCACGAGAAACTTCACGTAGAGCTCAACCATGGAAACTGACGGTACAAATTCCAATGCTTCCTCATAAATCTACACGTCGAAATACAGGTGATTACAAAATGTATATGTAGACAAAGAGTAGTTAGTCTGATTATAAATAATAATTTAAAATAGTTAAATACTTGCTTCTAACAAAAGTATGCTCTGTAAGAGTTAGTTTTTCGTTAAATTAGTTCGAACCCCAAGGACATTTTACATAATCATTCCTAAAATATAAATTTAATCAACACATGGAGCCGAAACCGATTCCTAAACTCACCCGAACTGCTTTGCCCAACCGCTTTTGATCTGGTCGTTCGAGATCTCCTGCTTCATACCTCGCAAGCCAATCCCAATAAAACGGCTCCTTTGAAAAATCCCTTCTCAGGTCACTAAGTATCTGTGCTCGCATATCTTGCAAATGAGCTAAACCTAGTGCTTCCACTATATCAAGAAATCGTGTTCTGAGACCGAATGCAGCGGGCAGAGATTCAATTGCATGACTATAAGTAGTCTGAACTAATTTGAATATTTTCTGAACTAATTTCCCATCTTGGATACTATCTCTTTTATTATTATCCCCAACCTCATGAAGGGCCATAAACAATTCCTTGTTCTCGTTTTTCCACTGTTCCTCAATGGCACTCTTGTGAACAATAGATTGGTCTCCCAAGAGGGCCTTTCGCGCTATTAGCTTGTTGAGGAATGTGAGTTCCATCCGAATATATTCTATATATAGGTCCTCAGAATTTGGGCACGCTCTCATACCTTTGAGCATGGTTTTTCGGGCAGCTTCAACATTTAGATTGGTGTCGAAATCCAAGCAGCAGAATAAATCCAGGCAGCAGGCTCTTTTGAATGATATCTTAGAAATACGGCCAAGACCTACATTATTATTATATATAACACAGATGATTAAGAATCTGAATCATTCTGAAAGTACGGATTTATGCACAAATACAAAATCACATACCTTAAAATTAATCAGATTCTTTTATGCTTGGAAAAGACAACAAATATAGAAGGTCGAACAAGAATGTGAAGATAATGCTATAATTTCACATTATATAACGAAAATGTTCCACAAGCGATGGGTACCTTTCTCATCCCACCGTGACGCTGCTCTCTGCAAAATTCCAAGTACTGAAACCAGAGCTTGAGGTCTCCTTTGAACCGGGTGGCGGCGAGCCGATAAATGTTGAGGATCCTGGCGACGCCGGCGTGGTCGGAGATCGTTTCCTCTGATTTTTCCGCGCCGGTCTTCCGAAGGAGGGATTTTTCGCGGAGGGTGTCGAGCTGCTTCTCGTAGTCGATGTAGGCTAAGAAATCCTTCTTGAGAGGGCTCGGCCGCTTGAGGCGGAACTCGAACTTGCGGCGCCGTTTGACTATCTCGGCAATCTCGCGGCTACTGAACAGGCCGCGCCGCTCTAGGTCGTCGAACTCGTCGAGCATGTGCTCGAGCCTGAATTGCACGACGTCCGCCATCTTTGCGGAGATCTAGACGATATCGACGTTCATGCCTGCGGGAGGCAGGGGAAGACTGAAGCTGTCTGGGCGGTGTCTGTTTGAGACGACGGAGGATGAAAAAGGTGGCGTTCGCGGGCTTCTTACGTGGGCTGAATTAGGGCTCAATTCCCAACGTTGCATCATTTATCTTTGGGCTTTTATCATGCGAGTAATATTATCCAAAACTTCACATTTACTCTCGTGATATAAAGCTAAAGTACCTATATATGCACATATATTAGCGTCATCCGTCCGCTGGGAAATAAATTCGTTACAAGTTTATTACAACTGCAAGACTCTATTTTCACATGTCATATCATATATTTATCTTGAAATATTTCTCTTCAATCAGAGCAAAATAATAGATAACTGAATACATTCCTTTGGAGGATAATATCTTTCATCATTATATGATCAATAATGAAAAGAAAAAGAACAATCGTATCGGCCAAATAAAAGGCACCAATTTACTGAGTGAAATCCGTCAGCGTGATTTCCTTCTTGGCTGCTCGACTGTACTGCGTTTGTAATTGAAGCAAACACGGTGTTCACTGATTCTACCTTGGAAAAAAACGATCAGGTGAACAAAATTTTTTCTTATTTTTTTCACATTTTATACTAATCATGTGTTTTTTAGAATAATTACAAAACATTTTTGTTTAAATTATTCAAAGTTTTTTATTTGAAATTTACAGATCATGTCTCGAATAATGATATTTTATCCATCACAATGGTGAGTGAGATAACGACTGTTACAAAAATTATGCAGTTGGTGGTATTCTTGTTCGACAAGATTGCTTGTTCGGTGAATTTCGCCATATGGTGCTGGACAAATTGAATGTGCAAGATCGAGACACAAACGTGGAACTAAAATACCAAGTAAAAGAATGATACCCGACTTTATCAATCAACTATGATAGCAGCTTCCAATTCCACATAGAGTTAAAATCAAGGGAACCCAATTTCATGAGGCATCCTATTTGTATGACAGTTGAAGTTGCAGCAAGCGTAGTAAACGAAAATAATAGTTCACCCTTGCGTTCGTTCAAGCTACTGATTCAACATATAGACCGTTCAGTTCAATGCCAATTATTGATGCTGAGGGCAAAGAAGATTATTACTGGATTTCATAGAATTCACGTTGGAAGCTGCAAAAGCCATGGATGAAGAATATAAAATTACTGAAAATAAACTTCAAATAAACTGTGGGGATCAGTCTAGGAACGAAAATGCTTCCAGTGATCATATTGCAATGGGGCATTCAATTGAAAATGAAGATGTATTGAAGAACGTGCTGAGTCTGCACGCAATAAAGCATCAATATCAATTTAAGGTTGAAAAGTCATATTCCAAGCTATATTACGTGAAATGCATTGTGGATGAATGTGTTTGGTTTGTTATGTCTTCCCACATTGGACAGACAGAGATGTTTAAGATAAGGAGTCTTGGTGGAAGCCATACATGTCCGCTTGATCAATGCACATGTGAACAACGACAAGCTACTGCACAACTCGTAAGTCAATGCATAATAAATAAGTTTACAAATCTGAAGGCGAATTATACCCCATGAGACATAATTCATGACTTGCAATTGAAGTATGGATTAAACTTGTCATATAAGAAGGCATGAAGGTCAAAGCACAAAATTATTGATGAAGTCCAAGGCAGGGCGGACGAGTCTTATGAACATGTCAATCTATATATACAACAATTATGTAGATCCAATCCAAGAAGCTTTGTCAAATTGTGCACCGCTGAGGATGGTAGGTTCATGCATGTATTCATGTCACTGAATGCTGCCATAAAAGGTTGGAAACATTTCATGCCAATTGTTGTTGTTGATGACACATTTTTTGAAACAACATATGGTGGGATTCTAGTTACTGCTTGCACCCAAGATGCAAATTCACATATCGTGCCTCTCGCATTCAGTGTTGTGGACTCGGAGAACATATATTTGTTGCATATGTGTGTGTGAGAGAGAGAAAGAGTGTGTGTAATTAGATGGNTATTCTGTTTTATATTATTACAACATATAAGAATCCCATTTTCTAAATCCATCTTTTTTTTATAATCTAATTATAAAATTGAGTTAATTTTGTTATTTACTTTAGTTTTTTAAAATTTATCTAAGTTTTATTACTCTTAGGTTTTTGTTATCTTAACTAAATTAACAAAGTTATTCGTGTCAATTTTGGGTATTTATTCAATGTGTCAATATCTTGTGCTACAAAATAATATGTATCAATTTCTGATGGTTATGTGGTGTATAATAATAATAATAATAATAATAATAAATTATTATTATTATTATTATTATACTACACCAGGATGTCCTGAACTTGTGAGACGCCAAGTTCCCTATTCAAAGGGCCATGTTTGTATCGTAGTAATTGCAGGATAATATGCAACAATCCCTGATGGTCGCTGTGAAGGTTTTCGTCTTCGCTGTTTCTGCCTAAAACCTTGTAAATATTAAAAAAATTTCGCTCATGAATAATAAAACAGATCAAATTTGTTTACAATATGTGTGTAATTTTAAGTAGTGATTTTGAAATCAAACGGCCACTACAAAATAAAAATGGACCAACAAAAAAATAAACCCATCTAAATAGTTTTCAACTGGGCAGCTGCATTGCATAACATAACCAGCAAAACTGGTCAATCAGAAACATAATAAAGCTGATCATAGTCAAGTTCTCCAAAAACTTCTAATTAAAATTCCATTATCTACAAAATTATGCAGCATATATAACCCACACCAGAACAAAACCACAAAACGGCGCAAAAAGTGATGAAATTAACCAATTATCCACCTAATTAACCAGTAATCACTTGGGAGAAATTGTAACGAGCAGTCCATAATGATCGCTCGGCAAAACCGGGAGCACTAATTCCACAACCTGCCCTTTCACCTTCTTTTCCTTCACATAAGACAAGCCCGGGATCTCATCAGTCCCAATCATCTCGATTTTACTCACCTCAAAATCGTTCAGCTTACAAACGAACCTATCCAGTCTTTTCTGTAGGGCTCTGTTCCCACTCAACATCTTGTTAGATTTAGTGTCATAAGTCCACCCATTCTCTCCGGGCCTCAGTTGGGCCCACGCATCAGCCCATCCATCGGGCAAGGGAAATGGGCCGTCCAACTTGTCGTCCCAGTTCATGTCCCCACAAAAGATTGCATTTTTGTACTTGTTGAGTGATGTAACAGCCTCTTTGGCCTGGGTTACACGTTCTTTGCTGAACATTTGGTCCCATGTGGGTGGGCTTGGACAGGGACTTTCAAGATGGGTTGTGGCGACAGTTATTATTTTGCCGGGCTCGAATTCGACATTGGACACACAGAGTTCTCGGCCCATGATGGAATTGTGAAAGGGTTGTGAGGTAAAGGATTTGACGGGCAATCTGCATAACTGCCAAAGAATCATATGAGTTAGTCTCTAGCTTCTATAAACCTATTTTAAGCTATGTTTGGTAAATCTAGCTGATAAGCTAGCTTTATAACTTTTTAAGTAAATTTTGAGCTTATAGCTGATATCTTATGACTTATGGACGAAAAGCTAACTTATATGATAAGTGTTTGGTAAAATTAGCTGATAAGCTAGCTGAAATAAAAATTTCAATGGGCTTATTTGAAAAGCAACCCAAGGAAGCTGATGAGATAAGCTCAAGCTTTTTAAAAAATTCGTTCTACCAAATCAAGCTTATTTGAATACAGAAAGCTTATAAGCTAATCAAATAAGTTATAAGCTAGCTTATATGCTTACCAAACACAGCCTTAGAAAAATGCATAATAGTAGCACGACCATTTTAATTGCATTTCTTAAAAAGAACTGCAATATTTATAGTTTTATACGCAATTTTCAGAAACTGCTTGAATTAGAGCGGATGGAATCAAAAATTGATTCGTAAAAATATTTCTCAAAATGCACTATTTTTTTTATAAATACCTGCATGCAGAAGTATCCTCCTGGAAAAGATATTTCATCTGGAATTGAACATTGGTAATTTTTCCACCATTTTGATTGCTGGAAAATCCTAAAGAAACTTGGGGTGACCTCCTGCGGATCAATAAAACTGACAATTGTTTGGAATTTATGAAATACCTATTATCGCAATAGAAGAAACTCGGACAAAATTGGTAGAACCTGAAAACATATGACATCGGGTGAGTGCAGTTCAATAAGGTAGCCAAGTGCTCTCATCCTCTCTCGCATTTCGAGATCTTCACGGAACCAAATGTTGTAACTCATAATCTTCCATGTCTTAGGATCTGAGGACTTATGAGTTTCACCTGTTACTTTATGTATTTATTTTAGTTATAGACCCACAGTCTAATAACAAAGATTGACACTAATTAAAAATCCGGCTAATCTAGACCTGAGAATACATATAAGATGCCTGAAATCTAATTCTTGAAAGTAAAAAAAACATGTAGCAATGTAGCATAATGCAACATGGTTTAACCAAAACAAACCTTCTGAGCAAAATATATTCAAAGCAACAGTAGCAACTGTAACACAATGGATAAAATAAGACTGGAATTAGGAAGTTTATGCACTCCTCGAGATTCACTTTATGCTAAATTTCACATTTTATATGCCAACTCCATATTGACCAGTTGCCTTACTCCCCATTTCTTATTGATGAGAGTAGACTAGAGTAAAACTTCACTATCAGTGTTGATTCTGAAATACTGAGATGATGTTATAATATTTCTACAGATCACAATATATATGAACTACAATTAGCATAATAACCCTAGAACACATTTTTCTTATCAAATTTTCTTGATATGTAAAATTCTCTCTGGGTCAATACCTGTATGTACACACACAATCACATATTCTATCAGAGAAAAGACCACCTTTTCAACTTCCAAGCCAAAACTGGCACTAGCATTCATAGCCCACATGAATCAACATTGAACCCACAGGAAAATACCCTAGCCCACAAGATCTCACCCCAATAACACTACAAATGTACCTAAGCGCCAAACTAACCATAAATGAATAATAAAAGATTCCATAAAAGAAAAGAAGAAAAATAAATAAACTGGTCTTGAACATAAAAAAAATCCAGTTCCAATAACGGAAAAAAGCCACACATACCTGACGAACCAACTTCAATAGCCTTACCAGCAGCCTTCGGAGCCCTAAACCCACTAGAAACCCTGATAACATCACCAACCCGACCCACTTCGACACCAGCATCTTCTTCCTCCCTCTCTTTCCTCTTACTGCAACGTTTTAAAGAAAATCCCTCACTAGTAACTCCCAAAACACGTCCCTCACCGCCACCATCACCCACATCTTTCTTCCCCCCATTCCCTAAACCGCCGCAATCCCCTCGCCTCAAAGGCGGGACAGAACCCTTTAACCCGCCGTAAAAACCCGCACCGCCGCTGTTACTGCTTAAATTTTTCAAGGGCAAAAAGACGCTGCCCACGGATGAACCCAATTCCACCTCATCGTCGCCGACTTCGAGAGTGGAAATCAGAGAAGCGGATTCCCTGGTCCCGCATATCTCGCAGCTCGCGCTACGGTAAGGGTTTAGGAAAGTACAGGACGAGCACGACCACTGGGGTTTTGAAGGCGACGACGATGGCGACGGTGATGGGTGGGACTGCGGTTGCGCCGAGTGGCAGATTTCGCAGCGGGTCTTCTGGTCGGGCGGGTTAAGGTAGGTGCACGTGGAGCAGGCCCAAGAAGACATTTTTACGGTTAGGGAGAGGATTTGGAGTTGAGGGATGGTAGTTTTAAGGGAAGATGAGGATGAAATGGGATTTGTGTCGTTGATTAGGGTTTTGCCCTGTTTGGAGAGGACGAGACAACATTTTGAAATTGAAATCATGCTGCCTGTTGTTTTGCCGCCTTTTGAGGCCGGCAACGAATGTGGAATTTGGGCTTTTGATTTCGCGCACTATATTTGCTGTGCCATGTGTCCATATTGGTAATTTAGAAATCATCACCTCTGCAATTTTATCCTCACGATGGATTTCAATATCTTCTATCTTCTTTGGTTTTGGTTACAGGTAGCAATTAGTACTGATGACGTGTACAAGAGCGCTAAGGTTGTGACCTTGTGACCCAGGTTTTCAATTTCTTTGGTTTGACATTTTTTTTTTTTGGTTAACAATTTTACCTTATTTATCTGGTTTGCTACAATGGTTATGTACTGTGATCTGCTTGACCTCTTTGTAATTAACACCTTTTGCTCGTGTCTGTAGATTCTTGTTGACAACATGGATTTTCTCAAGGAACTCGAGGGATAAGAGTTTGGGGGCTCGTAAAAACGATGATCTTATAGATAGATTCATGTATCCGTTACTCGTTCATTAAAGTGATCGATCATAAAAATTCATATACTCGAGCCACACTTTTTTTTTTCTCTATGAAGACCAAATTATGCTTTAGTATATAAGCCGTGAAAGAATGTGGTGTCTTGTTTCTTGATTTTTGGGCAGAACTCGCGTAATGCAACATTCAGCAGCATGATTTTACCAGAATTCGATCAATTCAAATGCTACACTTAATACTGCTACTATAGCCTTTTTTT